ATTTAAACATTTGATAATTAATTTAACTAATTAAATTAATTAGTAATGTCTTGGACTATCCAAGCCCATTACTTTGATCCATGCGCCCTCCACCCTATCTGTGGAGTTCCAAACTACTTCTTGGGCTAATAACAATTGTTAGGCCCAATACCTTTAATGCTAGAGCATCTAGACAATTAGGTGTTAGTGTGTGACCATTAGCCACTAACGTAAATGGGTTTGGGCCCAATAAGCCCACAACCCATCTAATGACAACATAGAGCACTAGCAATGTTTTGTTGCCCCAGAACTAGTTAGATTAATGACTTGATCATCCTATTACACATATTTGGTTGCCGTATATATTTCCTTTCATCTCGGTTACCTTCCCATAAAACCTAGGGTAAGGAAGCGTATTAACCCCTGCGGTTTAGGGTAAGCTTTATTCGAAATAGGGAATCTTCAATTTACAGACTCTAAAGGATCATCTCATGATCTCTTTTACTATGCATAGATTCCCGAGTCCCTGTAAATGTCATCCCGATTTCTCCGGTTTACAGATAACCTAATCTCTCACAGAGATTTGACGAATTCCTTCAGCTTATCACCCTAGCCCTGTGTTCTTTCAGGACAAGCCCAACAGTATACCTATGAGTCTCCATGTTTCAGGCAGACGAGGTGCACAATCAAAGCATGCCTTCTAGAACACAGTCTAGGTAATAACTTCTGGTCTTAGGAAAGACATACCCAAATATAAAGAGACTACTCTAATGATACTCTCTGTGAGAGTTCCTCATAGAGTCTCTTTGTGGGTCTGTTCAGTGCGAGCTATACCTTTATAGGTCCACCCACGACTTTAGCTAAGACATCTCCATATCTGTAGCTCATGAGGTCTTTACCTTGCACCCAAATACAAGTAGATAAGTCGTGCTAGTCTTACCCGAGATCACTGATCCCCATTCTCAGTGTCTCTAGACTAGGAACATAAAATTAGGAATAAACATCCAGTATCCTTGAATTCTCATGATCGTGATCTCATCACAGATACTCAAGAGATACCTATTTTATTCCAAGGGGTTTATCCAGTTACTCATATAAATATTAATAGTGATATTGAGACAAAATATGAAACAGGATAAATAGTGCTTTTATTTGCGACAATATAAAAGGTCTACATATGTCCTAATCTAATCAAAAGATTGTCTCTAGGACATCCATATACTAACATATCTAGCAACTATTAACCATTCATTCAATAAGATTGAATTCATTTTTCTTCAGATACGAAAGTTCTCTTTTCTCTCTGATCCATTTCTTTAAAGGCAGCGAGTAAAATCCTCCTGATGCATCGAAATTTGAAAGTATGATATGATCAGTTTCCAACCTTTTTCTCTCTCTAATGTCTATGCAGCTATATAAGAAAAATGATAAATGAGTTTCAACGAAATATGAATAAAAACATCTCACATATTAAAACAAGGGAAAAAGTATATGAGAAGTCTTCTCCTACTACTCTCACTTCAATGTCCATACCAGCTATTTTTCTATTTTTTATTCTTTTTTTTTTCAAAATGTGCCTCAGTCTTTTCTCTCTCAGTATAAAAGTTTCAACTTCTCGTGTAATATAAGAAATTGCAATTCCTTAAAATAATCCAAGAATAAAAACATGTTACATATTTAAAATATTAAATGAATAAAAACATCTCACAATTTTTTTAATAATTTATATATAATAATTTACTTTTTTATTTATTATTTATTAAAAAAATTACTTTTTTAAAGTCAGTTCATCCCATACAAACATTTCGTATTCCATAATCTTCAACAAGAACATCTATCTCCCAAGACTGTGTTACATACAATAAATGGATTATATAATTTTCAAAAATGTAATTTGCATGAACTTGGTTTCGTAAATTTGAATTTAAAATGCTTAAATAACTTTAATAAAGAAATAAATATTTAATTTTATTTATAAATAGTTTTAATTTAAAGTATGAAAAATTACTTTCATATTTAATATAAGAAATTACTTTTCTAATAAATAAAAAATAAAAAAGTAAATTATTATATATAAATTATTAAAAAAATTACTTTTTTCTGACGTATTATTTATTAAATATAAATATCATAAAATATGTTAACATTAAATACATACTATTTATTAAATACCTTTTTAAAGATAAAAATAAATTATGTTATTAAATATAATTCTTATCGGAAAATTCTTCATAGCCACATAAATAATAAGAAAAAAAATCTCCCCATAATCCATTGGCAGACCTATTTGGTTGTCAATGTGTGCAAGTACACACATAATTTGGTCATATATTTTTTTAGTAAAGAAGATATATATTTTTTAATTAATTAGGAATGTCACTCAATGAGCAATTTTATTGGCTGCATTGTCAGTAATACAAGCACAGGTACTAAGAAAGAAACACATCTTATTTACCGCTTATGTTTTAGTGGTTTTATATCATTGAGTTGATTAATCTTTTTTATGTTAAGTCGAAGTTTTCTTTTCTTTTGTTGTTTGAGGATTATATCTCTCATATTATATGAACAAATTTTTTTGTCATGTTAAGAAAAAGACAAGTTATATAATATTAAAGAAAGTCTGATGGCACATTATTCAATGAATTGGTCTTGTCTTTTTCTTAACATGAAATTTTTTTTGGTTCATGTAATATGAGGGATATAAATCCCTTTTTGTTTATATTCTTTTACTTTTTCATACATTTAAAACTTTGTTTAAATTTTTTTTTTTGAGGCACAGCCCCAAATCCCCTCCACTAAATATTCAGACTAAATATGCATACATAAATAAAAAAATTTGGGTCCGCCATTGTCATAAACAATGCCAAAAAATAAATAATATAGACGTCACAAACTTTTATGTATGTACAGGAGATAAAATTTATCTCCTACAATGTGAGAAATATTAATCCCTTATTTTAACATATGAGATGTTTTTATTCATTTTTCGCTGAAACTTATTTGAAAAAAGTGTTTGTCCTTTTAAACTACACAACTTATGTCTTTTCTCTCTCACAAAGAAGTGGGACCCACACCTTTATCTTTTTTGCTCCACTCTCTCTTTCTCCCTTTATCTATCTCTTTCTATCACTTAAAATGATACAATTTTACATACTTTAAAATGACACACATTTTTCTCAATTTATTTATCATTTCTCTTATATAGCTGCATAGGGATTAGAGAGAGAAAAAGGTTGAAAACTGAGCTTGTCATACTTTCAAATTTCAATGCGTCAGGTGGACTTTACTTGCTACCCTGCGCAACGAGTTTGTAATTAAATGTCACGTGCCATACTTTCGCAAAAAAAAAACTGAGCATTTTCATCACCATACTTGCTACAATTGACTACAAGTTTGATAGCATCAGTAAACATGTCACGTGGCATAACCAAACTCCAGTTGTTGCGAGTTTGGAAATGTGATATTTTGATAATTTTTCTAACCGCCGTGGAAATCCGATTTTTTTTTTTAAAAAAAGTGTCATAATGGTCATTGTCCCTCTTTTTTAAGGTCTAACACCAATGAGGTGTTTGGTAGAGGAGATATATTTTTTTTACCAGGTAAATGCAATTACCAGAAATATGATAGGAAAATGAGTTTGGTAGGAAAGTTAAAAAAAAGTTGTTTGGTTGACGAAAATTTTACCAGGAAAATTGGATTAGAAGAGGATAGTATTTGCACAATTTTTGTCAACTTTTCCCACTTACCTAGTTATATGCAAATACCACATTCAAGTTGGTAAACTTCAGTAGTGCGTGCATTTTTGCATTTGATTTTGAATCGCTAGGCAAAGGAGTTTGGTGGGTAAATCTTATTAACCCTCTATCAAACAAAGACAACATCAATTCCATAACTCAGATGGATGGGGATCTCAACCAAAAACTTGAACCAAACACTACCCAAGAGTATACTATAAAAAATAGAAACATTTTAAAAATGTTCTTTTAAAAAAAATCATAAAGTTATTAAAAAGATGTTGTGGCCACTGGCCATGCACTGAAAATTTTAATTCATAATCTGCATAACAATGTTTACATAGATATTGTTTTTTAATTTTTAGTCTGAAAATAAAAATAATTATAATTAGTTACTCAGAAACATAAATTAGCAGATATAAAAAGAATAATTAAGTTTTTTTTTGGTTTCATAGCACACTATTTATCAAATATAATCGTCATAGAATATGTTATTAATATTATATATACATTATTTATCAAAATGATATTGTTTCATCTAAAGTAATATAAAGTCGTGTCATTTAAAATGACAAATATTTTTTCCTTAATTTATTTTTTTGGATAAATCATATATATCCTTCACAAAGTATTTATCTGCCACATTTACATAAAATTGAGTGTATTCCACTTTTATTTTCCCTCTTCTCCTCATAATAAGACCCATTCACTTTTATATGAATATGACAAGAAAAAAAAAATAGAAATATTTTTTCCATAAATTATATAATCAAACATATTTTTATTTTTATTTTTATTTTTATTTTGACAAACGATTTGTTCAAAGCACAGAAAAAAAAAATATTTCTTTCTAAAAATAGTACACCTAAACTCATTTCAACTATATGCAGGCCAAGTTACTTTGTGCTGGTACCAAAAATTCAAGTCTATAACCTACAAATTACTCAAACCCTCACCTGTGCTCAACTCCTAGTTGTTTGACAAAACCAATTTTAACCCACTCTTAGTGGTTTGGCCAAGCCAATTTTAGACCTTGCTCGATCTGGATGGCTCGAATTAATAAACTATTGGCTGGTTGCTGTTAATTTTAAAAAAATATTATTGTTGCGTCAAGCTTTTTCAAAAATCCAGGGGATTGCTCGGGTTTTTCAACCACGCACAGCACAAGGAGGGTACCTACTACAGGCATTGTTAAGAGAGTTACTCTCAGTAAGTGATGGAGAAGATAAATAGTAATGAATCTCGAAAAAAATCTCTGGTCTAATTTTAAGATTAACACGTCATCTAATAAGATGTCAATTATCCATACAACAAAAATCTTAACCTTAATAACAAATCCATGATTTAAAATTATTGTGTGCGTATACGTGTGCACGTGTATTAGGAATTGGCTTAATTATCCTTGAAAGATATTTCATAAGATATAAAATGTCTTGTCATATTCTATAGACAAAATGAATCCCTATTCCTCCACCTGATCTTTGACGTTCCAAATAAACTCCATTTTTGAATATAGACTTTAGTTAATCCAATCAAACTGTCTTGAAAATCTTCCGTGGAGGGTTATGTATACAAATAGATAAAGATCTGCAAGATAGACCAAACAAGATAGGTTCTTTCTTGCATGTTCTTTATCTTCCCCGCATCAAATCAATGGGTTTCCTGAGTCATCAACACCATGTTGTCTGCAGAGACGGTTGAGTAGCTTTCAATTGGTTTCTGAAAATGGCATGTCTGATATATAATGCTTCTACTCAAGAGTAATTTCAAAGATGACTCCTTGAAGATTCCTAACAACACACCGAGTTCCAGGCACTTCTTTCATCTGCATCCGAAGCTTAGAAGCTTCAACAATAATCATTGAATCCATGCTGCAGGGAGATAAATCATGATTAAGTGAGAACAATGCTTATACTTCTGACCAAATCATATCATCATCTCCATCAAATCAAAAGCTACACAGACTAACTTAGCTATGGTACTCCAAAAATCAGATAAAGCAAAGCTTATGGCAAATAATTTCTTGGATATGCGATATAAGCCCAGCAGAAAATTGAGATTTTTGCTACGTACAAGGCAGGAGAAGCTGCAATTCATAACTGAGATCAAAAGGAATATAAAAGTATCACTAAAGCCTCTAAAATCATAAAAGAATTGCCACACTCAAGCAAAGAAATTCATGGAACTTGTTTTCACAAAGTTATTTTTGAGTCTCCAATAGAAAATTAAATAATACCAAAATGTCAAAGGGTGAACTTTTTTTAAGAAAAAGGGAGACTAATGTCCCTCCCAAGTCTGAGTTGGATATAAGAAAGGTTTTGAAGCTCATAGAATTGATTTCAAAATCTGATTTTGAAAATGACTTCTTTATCTTTTCTGGTTAGATAAATTTGTAGCACCAGGTCTAATGTTAATGATGGAACCCGAAAAATAACACTGAAATTATAGAGATAATGGAGGTTATGCCTCTTTTACATACACTAATATGCAGAAAATAAACCCCAAGAAATCTCAACTCCTCCTCAAACCAAATACCTAGGCTCAAGAGTTCCCTAGAGATCTCTCAATTTTCCCACTGAACCAAAATTGAATACATGCATAATAAAAACATCACCCTAAACTTCTATATATACTAATTCTAAGATACTAATGGGTTTGGATTATTTATTATAGGCCCATCAATTAACCATTTAAATATTTTCTTTTTTAAAAAATAAAAATAAAAATAAAAATAAAAAATCTTACAAACAACACAAATTTGTATGGATTTACAAAACTAGTTTCAACTCTCAACATAAATCAGTTCCGAACCTGTTTTATAGTTTTCTAAACACCCCATTAATATCTATTCCTAAGAGCCATCTGATACTATTCATTTTAGACACGTCAAATGTAGAAGGCAAAACTGAATCTACTCAATCTCTGAGATCAATCAAAAAAAAGATAGCAAAGAATAGTCACTAAACAAAGAAAATAAGCACAATGGAATAATAACAAGTTGGGTTACATACATCTTAGCTCGTGATACATAGGCTAGTATGAATTTGCATTTTCTGCCCTCTCTAACCCGCAGGAGCTGTTTAACACTATCAAAAAGCATAGGGATGCTTGACTGCTGAAAGCGTACGAATTGTCAAGGTTTCTTACATCATTTTTTCAGTGAAAATGAAATATTATAACACAAAATCTTGATGACATACACAAATTTTAATTTCAAGTATCATAGAAATTATGCATTGTCTGTCATTTGATCCTCTAATTCATTTCAGAAAAGAACTGGAATTAGTCCTGTTAGGCTATGACAATATAGTTTTCACATCCAACACAAGCAAATCATGAATATTTGAGCAAGAAGAAATCACACTAGAAAAACATTTTTAATTATGATGAAAGTGAAGAAGAATGTAAAAGAAGTCAAATAGCTCCATCAAAGGCTTTGAAATTGATAGTCTGGTGAATGAAACAGCTTGAAACAGATGCAGGGCTAGTAATGAATATAACATCAAGCCATTTTGATGTTACAGTTCTGAAGACGAAATTTCATCTTCTGGAACACCTACTAATCTTAAGTCCTCATAAGAAAGATAACAGATTTAGAAAAGAGATAACCTTCTAATGATCTAATCCCATCATGAGCATAAGAAACAAACCTGATTTTAAAAAAGAAACCACAAACATGATTCGCTCATTGGTTTGGGTGAGAAATGTGAATAACTAGCTTAATAGATATCTATAGATTTACCTATATCTTATGCTGTCAAATTTTTCTGGCATTTATGCATAGTTCTTAAGCATGACAACAATGGGATTAAATATATAATGGATATATATATCAGCTCCGAGAATGAAATCGAATCCTCCAGGATGCTTTTGTAAAATTTCATTGATCTGACCAGTGTTCCCCCATTCTAGTTTCTCTGCTACTAATCCTGCATATACATTAAATGTAAAATTCAGTGGATCAAAACATGTATCTTCCATTCTTCCTTTAGAAGGTTTTTAACTCACTGTAAGAAGTAGGATTAATATTTTCTGGACATGAATGCAGCTCTATATTTTTCTTTAAGATCTGAGAAGAGATAATATAATTAGCTGATATAGCAGATATTCAAGAATATGTTGCCATGTGTCATAGAAAAAGATTTTCATAACCATACCTTGATCACTTCTTCATTATGATCTGTCAACACAACTTTATGGCAGAATCTGCTGCAAAGAATTCCAGTAATACCTGTGATTTGAAGCAGGAAGCACTCATAGCATAAAGGTCCAAAGTTATACAAAATAAGCATAGGTATCAATATATGTGTGTCTGTAACTGTAAGCAAAACAACCTTAAAATCACAACTAACATTTAATTAAACTCCAATTGAAAATGTGTAAGGTCATGACTCAAATTACCACTAATTAGATAAAAGACATAAAAAGTTAAGCTGTTTATCACACATAAAACTAAAAGATGACATTTTCACATGAACACAATCAGAACACAGAACAAAGCCCATAACAGATGACCAGAGCACAAATCAGAGCACACAAACTGGATGAAGCACCAAACTACAAACCAGCAAACCTCTGAACTGTAAGCAGAAGCTGATTGAAGGAGAGAAGACGACGAAGACTCGAAGCAGACCATCAGGGATCGAAGACTCAAAGCCTCTCAGCCTTCAGCCACAACTGGAAGCACCCACAGATTGAAGCTCAAGTAAGTCAAGACAGAACCAACAGATTGTAGGAGAGGGGTCCCATGAATGACAGAAGAGGTCGTAGGGCTTTGGTGTCTTTAGATTTCAGATGAGCCAGGGTTTTATTTTCAGAAATGGGCAACTCGGCCAGCAAAGTGGGATTGTCCAATCCCACCCCTTTCATGATAAAATTTGTCAATCCCAGCGATCTCGCCAAAATGGGTTGGTGGCCATCACCAGCATGCAAAAAACGTAGTATCTTGTGATCCCACAACTCAACATGCTATTTCAACTACCTTGACAGGTATCCAGCAATATTTTGGCAGACAATAAACTAACTATAAAGATAAGTAATTCATTTCCTAAAACAAGGTAATCATGGGTAATGAGTGATTACGCAAGAGAATCATCCCCTTCAATTTCACAAAACCAGGAACAAGTTAAAGATGCATTGTTCCACATACAAACATATAAAGAATCTAATAAAAGAAAAAATATTTTCTTCTAAAGATGAATACATACCAACACCAGAACCTAATTCAATGACAGTGCAACCCTGAAGCATCTCAACATTTTTTGAAAGATAATCATTCAGCAACATGGCTCCGGGCCATACCAGCTGCCCTGTCAAATCAAAATCAGCTGATTCAAAAGATAATTAGTATGCTGACCCAAACTAATAGAAGATACAGAAAGCCAAAAAAGGCACCAACAAAAATAACACAGACAAGTGTATGTAATCCACTTTATACAAAAGCTTCTAAATTCCCAACTATACGTTGTTATATCATGTTTGATGTTTGACTCCAATTTAGAACCACAAAGAAGTTAGAATTGGGCTTATCACATGTTCAAACTTATCCTAAGACCACACAGTCATACATCAAATTCAAAGCAAATTAAATCCATCCCTATATTGCAACATTGAGTCCTATTACACTCTCTTCCTCCCCAATCAAGCACTCACAGCAAGTACAAGTACAACCCATAATCAAGCACGTGACTTATTTGAAAAAATAAAATAAAAAATATAACACTTACTGGAAGCAGAATGCAGACAGAAAAGTTGAATATCTTGAGACCCAAACGTGAAATTCGTCAGCTGGTAACTTCAAATTCCAAAAAAGCTCCATTGTTACAACTGTAACGGCAAAGAACAATGTAGAGAGAGAAAGCGGAGTTACTTGTCATCGATGAAGAACGATCGATCTAAGCAAACGATTTCTTCTTCTTCTTCTTCTTCGTGGGGTTGGGGTTGCATTTCTAGTTTTCCTCTTTCTTCCATATTCAACTTTTGGGGTGATGTATACGACGGCGATCCGGTTTCTTCTACCTACGGCTGCAGTGTCCCCATTCGAAAATAAGTTTTTGCAAGGTATACCATAAAAGAGGGGAGACTATTTTATCGATGTTTATACGACATCGTTTTCTTCCATAATATTAATATTTCTACTAATATTTGACTTGTAAAAAATTATGTTATAATACTCTGGGTATGGGATAGGTTATACTTAGTACCTAGTTCTACTATAGGATAGGTTATATTTACTAACTAGTTTACTTACTATTTGTTACTACTAAATCTTAATCGATGATTTTCGCCAACCTAATGGTTATAATTTATTACAAATTAATAATTAATTAATAAATCGTTAGATTGACGGAAATTAAAGGTTAAAATTTTGTAGTAACAGGTAGTAAAAAAAATAGATAGTAAGTATAACCTCTCCCTAATACTATAAGGTTATATTGACAAATTTACAAACTATACTATGTTTTACCAGTAAAACTTTATACAAGAATGTCTTATCGGAAGACATATTATAAGATTTTGTAAATAAAAAATTTATAAACATAACATTCCCCTAATACTATAAATCTCAATAAATCAGTAATGTTTTTGCAAAATAAATATATATTACTAAAATTGTTTGCGTTCATTATTGTAAGAAATTTAAAAGGTAATATTTTAAAATAATTAATAAGATTGATGTTAATAATTAATAATTATTGGTTCAAGTGGTAAGAAATATATTCTTCTTAATCAGAAATTTTGAATTCGAGTGTAACACTCTCCCTTGTATGCATCCAAGAAGAGAGTTGTTTGCGAATCGTTATTAGAGTTGCGAAATTTTGTGAAGAAGCTTTTTCTTTAAAAATCTTTGAGGAAATGTAGTGGAAAGCTGAATCTAAGGAAAATTTTGATAGAAAGAACTTAAAATGTGTTGCTGATGAAAACGGTGAAAATTTAAGAAAAACCGTATTCCTTTAAATATTTATATAAAATCGAGCTTTCAAAATCTGTTTGCACAGTTGTTATAATCTGGAAGTAGACGCTTGGGGCTTCGCGTGCATATAAAATAATAGAGAATCAGAGGTCGTTTACTATACTAAATATAACTTTTAAAGTGCTCGCATGGCTGTCAAAAATTCAGCACTTAATTAAATGTAATAAATTGTTTTCGCAAAATGTTTTTTTTTTTAAATTTTCCCTAAAACACTTGCTGCTCAAAAAGTCTTCAACATGCAGTAAAATCATAGTTCCAACAATCATCCAGGCATACCAAAATATCCAAAATAGTACAGTCATCCATTAAATAAACAGCAACAGCAAAAGTCCAAGCAGCAAATAACAGCAAATAGCTATGTCTTCATATGCTCTTCCGTCCTCCTGCCATTTTGTAAAAATAGCAGCCCCAAAGGGGTGAGAATAATCCAGTAGTGTGGCAATAAAACCAATAATGCAACAGTATTAAACTAGGCACAAAATTATAAAACAGTCGCATCAACATTAACTTCATTTCTTGATAAACATCATCATATATCATAGTGTGTATATAACGTCATCTTTACGCTCATAGCACCATCGTGCGCGTACAAACACAGTGGAAATTCAATGCACGGCACCCTCATTTGGTGAATTCCACTGTGACTTATGCGGACGGATGCCAAGTGCCCCATACCCTGGTACCGAGGGATGCCTATATGATGCGTGCTCAGTCACATGTCCTTATATATATATATATATATATATATATATATATATATATATATATATTCTAGGATGTCATGAGTTCTAAGTCTACATGCCATGCTATGCAGTCACACCAAACAGAAAATGTATCAGGATGTAAAAATGCATGCATATATCATTATCATCATTTCATATCCTTACCGTTGCCACATCATAACCATAAAATAACATGGAACATATGTGAGCAACACTTCACAATTTCATACACTAGTTAATAATCACATTAGGTAATACCACCTAACACATACCTCGTACGTCGAAATTTAATTTACCAATAAGCAGTGAAACAGTCCAACGTCTCAAGGATTTTTCGCACATAAATTAGAGGCATAACAAATCAGCATACGTTTCACTTTAATTTAATAATTTGGCAACAAAACCTCAAGCTTACATGTCCTTATATCACTCGGCCATATAGGTTCTTTTTCTAAAATTATTTTTGACTCTCATTTAACCTTCTTTAACGCTAAACAGTGAGGAGAACAGTGAGTATTTTCACTCAAAACAGTGAGCAAATCAGTGGACATTTTCACTTAAAACAGTGAATAGAACCAACATGCAATAACAATTTTATTTTAGTGAAACAGTGAGCGTTTTTCAACAAAACAGTGAGCATTTTACAGCAACGTTTTTCTGTGAAACAGTGAGCATTTTTTAGCAAAACAGTGAGGAAAAACCAACATGCAGTGACGGTTCTTTATCAACATCCAAGGCAAAAATTCCAAAATTCACAAAATCCTTATGTACATAGCGCTACCAAGAGAGTATACAAGCTACCTTTATTCCTTTTCTTCATAAAGGTTCATGATTCCTTTATTACTACCAAACAGTCCCATGTTTATACTAAGGTTAGTTCCAAGTTAACTTCTTTATGTTTGCTAACCATGGCTCAAAGAATCAACATGGCAGGATTTAAAAGAGTCAAACAATAGATAAGAAACTACTCTCCTAGACATGCATTTAGGTTGGAACGGAAAAAGGAAGAGAGGATTTTTGGTGCCTACCTCACGCAACACACAAGGAGTTCGAATCAAAACAAGGAGTACCACCTTAGCCTCCTAAGCTCTACGAACGTCAAGCTCACCTCTTCATGATGAAGACCGTGCGCACAAGAAGGGAAAGGAAAATTGCTTAAGTTAGTATCCACATGCAAGGGAATATCTTCATCAACCAACCGTGGAAAAGGAAAATAAGGAGGGAACCACATCTTACCTCCTTAGACACTTATACGCAGCTGTACCAAGAGAGGAGAAAATGTTGAGCTATCCTAGCTTCTAGCTCATGGAGCTCTCGGTCACAACTTAGGAGAGTAGGAAGAAAAGGTTGCTCAAAATAATAAGTTGGTTGAAAGAGTCCCGTAGGGGAAGGCCTCGGTTTTATATTTTTTTTGTAAGAAGAAAAGATGATGGCTACACTTCCTCTCTTGATGACACAAGGTCACGGTTTTGTTAGGATGAAGGGATTTTGACTCTGGTTCTATGTCTCTTATGATGTTACGGTTTAAGGAGGAAGGGGTGATGGTGTTTAAATTTTTTTGAAGAACTTTGTGGTGATTACTACTTCACGGTCCAAGAGAAAAATATGAGAGAAGAGTTGCAACTTCCTAACTTTCTTTCACCTCCATTCAGCGCTTAAAATAGAGGGATAAGATGAATAAAACACTTGAAACTTTTGCTCCTCTTTACACGCATCAAAGGAAAAGTTGTGTGCAGAATTTTGCCCAATGGAGTAACATGCAGGCTGCTCTTTTTGGTGGTCATTGGTTGCATGGTTTAAAGAGGAAAAGGTTGGAAGGTGTAGCAAGTTATCAGCCCTCCTTTTGGTCTACTTCAGCGCATGGGAAGGGAAATGTAAGTAGTGATGCTGACTACTTTTTGGCAGGAAAACAACAAATGCTCAGCCTTGTTGCCAAGCCCTAAGCGCATGTGATGCTGAATGGGAAAGAGTAATGTTGACATGTGGGGATCACTAACCAATGAAGCTTTGCCTTGGTGGATTTCTTAAGATAACTAGAGGGTAGGATGGAGAAATTTGGGCTGAACCATAACCCTTTCAAAGTCACTTGGGCCAGCGGCCTACACAAGTGATTAGGGTCCAAAATTATTTAATTCCTAATGTTTTATGTGTCCAAAGATCAGCCCAAGAGTTAGTAAGCTTCCATGCCTTTAAATATTTTAAGTTTCTTCTAAATGTTACTACTAAATTTATGGTTCCACGTGCTTAACATAATTTATCATTTATTATGACAATTCAAGCACTTTCTCTAGCACATTATGGATTCCCCACTACTAATCATATAATTCAAAAACCAACCATATGTTCCATGTAATTCGAATTGTCACAGTGCCTTCTTATGCCCTATAGTATATTATGTATTTTCCCTAATTACGTGGGATGTTACACTCTCCCCACCAAATTGGAATTTTGTCCGCAAAATTAGATTTACTTACTAATTAAATAGTTCAGGGTAGCGTTTCCGAATTTCATCTTCGCGTTCCCACGTGGCTTCAGCTGCTGACTTGTTGTTCCACAATACTTTCACCAGCGGTATCTCTTTTGAACGGAGTTGTTTAACAGATCTCTCCAGAATCTGAAACGGCTGAACTTGGTACGTTAGATTTTCCCTTAGTTCCACTTCTTCAAGCTGTAACACATGAGACGGATCGGAGAGATATCTCCTCAGCTGCGACACATGAAATACATCGTGAATTCCTGACAGGTTAGGCGGTAACGCCAATCGATACGCTGATTCTCCAATCCGGTCCAAAATAAGATATGGTCCTAAATACCGCGGACTTAGTTTCTTCACTCCCATTCTTCTGCCGAGTCCTGAGGTGGGCGTGATTCTCAAAATTACATGGTCTCCCACTTTAAAAGATAAAGGCTTATGACGCTTGTCGTAATAATTTTTCTGCTTGGCCTGCGCCCGCTGCATATTTTCTCTTATCTTCTTTACCTGTTCAGAGGTTTCTTGAATTACATCAGGCCCCAAAATACTTCGCTCTCCAACTTCAGTCTAACATAGAGGGGATCTACATTTTCTTCCGTACAGAGCTTCATACGGTGCCATTTGAATACTGGAATGATAACTGTTGTTATAAGCGAATTCTACCAGAGGAAGATAGTTGTCCCAACTGCCTCCTTGCTCCAAGATACATGCCCGTAACATGTCCTCTAAAACCTGAATAGTGCGTTCTGTCTGACCATCGGTCTGCGGGTGATAGGCAGTGCTCAACCTCAAGTGGGTCCCGAGGGCTCGCTGAAAGGAGACCGCCTCTTCTTGTTTTACCGACAGACTTGTTTTACGCGAGGCTTATTTGTCCGAGGGTAATTTTGACTTTACTGAAGGTGCTGCGGATGACCGTAAGTGGCAGTGCTGGTCGGTTAGGGACATAGACCGAATCTGTGATAAGCCGCGCAGCGAGCACGTTCTCATATGGCGATTATTTGTGTACAAGACATATTTTACTGATTAGAAAGTTAGGTTCCCTTTTTCGGAGTTTGAAATGGGCGTGCTGGCCCATTTGAGAGTTGCACCTTCGCAGTTACATCCTAACGCTTGGGCGTTTGTTCGAGTCTTTGAGAAGATATGCCGGTACTTTAACTGGCTTTGTTCCCTGAGGCTGTTCTTCTACTGCTTTCAGTTGTCTCTGTCGATAAAGATGAGTTGGGTCTCGTTAAAAGCGGGAACCAAGTTGGGAGCAATATTTTTGCCTTATCCTGATTCGTATAAGAATTGGCGACAGACTTTCTTCTTGGTGGAGCCTGCGCTTGAGGAGGGAGAGGTTCCTTTCTTCGTAAACTGGGAGAGTGGGGAAAGTCAGATCGAACTATACTGGTCCAAGGCGCATTATGAGGTTCCCGCCAACCAGTACTCATTTGGGTATGATAGTCTGTCTCTGGAGGAGAGGTGGGCGGTTGAATGGCTTCAGGGGTTTAAACAGCCTTCGAAGCGATGGCCTTCAAAGAAAGTTTTACGTTATGGAGGTTCGGCGATGGCTTGTAAGGGCGTTCCTATGAGTATTTGCCTTCTTTCTTTTACTGACCTTTGCTTTTGTGGTTTTTAGTTGAGAGCTTGTCGATGGAGGCATTAAGAGCTGCTCGTGAGGCGGCTGCTAAGATCCGGGTTGCCGGTGGCGGAGTTCCTTTGACTGTGCCGGCTCCTGCCCTGCAGCGCACGGAAGTTGACAAGGGTAAAAAGAAAGCTCTTCCTTCAAAGAAGAAGAAGATTCGGTCTGCGGTTGACATTCCTGCCAAAGAGCTTGCAAGAAGGGCGGCTGGGCCCATAATCAAAGAGGTGACAACTCAGATAGGAGGTCCCTTAACATGCGTGCCTACACCAGGGTCTGTCTCTTCGGGGCGTGCGTGTTCTGGATAAAAAAGATCTGCAGAAGAAAATACAGTTCCTCCGAGGGGGCAGAAGGTGGCGAGGACAGAGACGCCTGATTCTGGGAGGTCGACGGACGATGATTGCTATGAAACGGGTGGCTTCCATGATGACTCGGGTGCTGGTGACCAGTACTCCAAATGAGGGAGGGCTTAGCGAACTGGCAGGTGCCGAAGAAACTTCTCCTGCTGTGATCCCGGTGGGGAGGGTTTTGCAGTTAATAGAGAGGGATCTCACCTCAAGCATTCCCAAGCCCACGCTGAAAGTGACGGTACCAGAACGGGTCAACCGCCAAGAGATTATAGACTGTGCGCAAGTAATCATTGGTAGGATATTAGTTATCCAATAGGTTGCCCTTGCTGCTGATCGTCGTTGTTCTGACCAGGGGGATCACTTGACAGAATTGGGGCACAAGGTGGAAAACTTGACCGCCGATGTGGGGCGCCTTAGGAAAGAAGTCAACGATTTGAAGGCTGCCAACAAATCTTTGAGCGCCAAGAACGAGCTGTTGAAGAAAGATGGCAAAAAGGTGAAGTGCCTGACTCGGGAGAAAGACCGCTTGTCAAAGTCCTTTGACGACCTCCAACTGGCAAAGAAAGAGTTGTCGGCCGAGTTGGCCACAGTATATGGTAATCTTCACGCCTCTCAGGAGGATTGTAAAAAAATCCAATGGGCGGGTGCAGGAATTGGAGGGACATTTGGCTACGTTGTTGTACGAATCTTTTAACCACGTAATTCAACAATATTTGGTGCATTATCCCGATCTGGACATTACTGGCTTTGGCCCTGAAGACGAGGTGGAAGGAAACCCAATCCTTCACCGGGTCTCAGATAGTGAAGTGGTATTAATTGAGGAGGGTCCTGAAACTGATGAAGAGGATGGTGAGATACCTGGGGATCCTTCTGTTGGTGACGCCACTGAGAAGGGGCCTCCTGCCAACGGTGAGTCCGGGGGGGATTTGTCGATGAGTTTTGCTGACGTTACTCTGCCTGACTAGGAGGTGGGTGGTGGTAGTGGGGACACTGCCGTTGTCGGCATGATTGAACAAGTCTCTGCAGCTAAGAGGTGGCTACTGATGCGGTTAAGAATGCCTTCCCATCAGAAGAAATCGCTGTCGGCGCAACTGAAAAGGCCTCTGTAGCTGAGGAGGCAACATAACTTATTTATTTTATTGATTTCCTTTAAATCCATAGTTTGTATGCTAGTCGTGGACTGGCTTGTATTTCTTCTAGTATCAATGAAGTTTATTTCTAGCTTGTTGTCCTTCGTACTTATTATAAAATGGCACCTTCTTGTCCTGGGCTAATAATTGTGTTTATAAAGTGTGATGTTGACTAAGTGCTACGCATGGCGGGGGTGAGAACCATCCCTTGCTTGGACGTTGACTGAGGGTGAAAACCATCTTAGTGCAACGCATGGCGAGGGTGAAAACTGTCTCTTACTTGGATGTTGACTGAAGGTGAAAACCGTCTCAGTGCAACTCGTGGCGGGGGTGAAAATCGTCCCTTACTTGGACGTTGACTGAGGGTGAAAATCGTCTCAGTGCAACGAGTGGCGGGGTGAAAACCGTCCCTTACTTGGACGTTGAATGAGGGAGACAACCGTCTCAGTGCAACGCGTGGCGGGGGTGAAAATCGTCCCTTACTTGAACGTTGACTGAGGGTGAGAACCGTCTCAGTGCAACGCGTGGCGGGGGTGAAAATTGTCCCTTAAGTTGGTCTTTAGAGACAGATAACAAATAAAAATGAATTTTAAATAACGAAGAGTTGTCATACGAGTCTATAGATTAATGAAATCGTTCTGCCTCGTTAAAAACCTTCTAAGTAAATAAGTTTGGGCAAAGCTTGGAAAAGGAAAAATGTTACATTGTAGTTTTAGCTATAGTATCTCTTGAGCTTGTCGGCGTTCCACGCCCTAGGAATTACTTTCCCTTCTAATGTTTCGAGGGCGTAAGCTCCTCCTCCTAGCTTATTGGCTACCCGATAAGGTCCTTCCTAATTTGGGGCAAGCTTCCCATCACGCTCGTTTTTGTTCCTGATATCAGCTCATCGGAGGGCTAGGTCTTTCTCTTCAAACTTCCTCAAAATGACTTTCTTATTGTACCGGGTGGCAGAATTCTCTTTGGATTGGTGCTCTGACTGCGCTGCGTGCTCTCGGAGCTCGTCTAAAAGGTCCAGTGTTTCCCTGAGGTTCTGATTATTGGTTACCTCATTTATATGGTCTCTTCTCCAAGATTGTTCACCAACTTCAATAGGAATCATCGTCTCTGTGTCGTATTCAATCTGAACGGTGTTTCTTGAGTACTGGATTGGGCGGTCGTTCGGTAGCCTCAAAGGACCTTTTCCAGATTTTCCACCCATGCCCCCTTTTGTGACTCAAACTTTTTCTTGATTCCTTTGGCCAGCATTTTGTTGGCCGATTCTACCAGTCCGTTGGATTGGGGGTGTTCTACTGCGGCAAAGTGATGTCGGATTTGCAGATCCTTCATCAACTCCCTGAACTTGGTGTCAGTGAACTGGGTGCAATTGTCTGTTATAACTTATCCCGGGATGTCAAAACGATAAATGACGTTTCTCCAAAAGAACTTCCTGACCCTCTGGGAGGTAATGGTAGCGACAGGTTCGGCTTCAACCCACTTGGTGAAGTAGTCAATGGCGACAATCAGCCATTGGACTCGGCCTGCCGCCACGGGGAAAGGGCCTAGAATGTCCATTCCCCACTTACAAAAAGGCCAGGGAGATGTTATTGATGTGAGTTCCTTTGGCGGGGCTTTATGCGTGTCGCCGAATCTCTGGCACTTTTCACATTTCTTAACATGCAGGTGGGCATCTCGTTCCATGGTTGGCCAGTAGAAACCTTCTCTGAGTGCTTTCTTAGCTAAAGAATTGCCGCCTATGTGATGACCATTGATTCCTTCATGGATTTCTTCAAGGACATACTCCACATCGCTGGGCTTCAAAAATTTCAGGAGTGGGGATGAGCATCCTCTTTTGTATAAGTGGCCATGCATTATGCAAAAATGGGCGCTTCTTCGTACCACCTTCTTAGCTTCCCTTAGGTTAACCGGAAGGATTCCTTCAGATAGATAATTGGTGATGGGAGTGATCCATGATTCTTCCGCGGCTTCATTAGCTTTGTCTGAAATGCTCATGACGATGCATGAATTAGGTAAATTATGTTGGATGACAGACCGATTGTTACCTAAGCTTTTGGTGCTTGCATGCTTGGCGAGGATGTCTGCCCGGGTATTTTCTGACCGCCTAATATGTTCCACCGCAACTGACTCGAAGGTCTGCATTATATCTTTCACTTTTTCTGGATACTTGCACATCAGTGGTCCTTTGGCTTGATACTCACCCGAGATCTGAAATGTCACCAACTGAGAGTCACTGAAAACTTTGAGGTGTCGTGCTCCCATCTCTTTGGCTTGAATTAGGCCAGCTATCATGGCCTTATACTCTGCCTAGTTATTTGTGGTATTGAAGTCGAAGGATAAGGAATGCTCAACAGCCAAACCATCTGGACTTTCAACTATCATTCCTGCTCCTGAGCCTTTGGCGTTTGACGAGCCATCAACATATAGCTTCATACCGTCGGGAGCGGCGTTTCGGCGACTTGACAATCAGGCTGAGAATTGTGCATCATTTCAGCTATGAGATCCGTGAGCGCTTGAACTTTAATGGCGATTCTCGGCTCGTAGTTAAGCTGGTACTTCGACAGTTCAATTGCCCAAGACATCATCCTTCCGGCAAGATCAAGCTTGTGTAAGACTTGGCGGATTGGCTGATTGGTCCTGACAGTAATAGGGTGGCATTGGAAGTATGGTCTCGTCGTGCAGCGAAGATAAGCATAAGAGCAACTTTCTCTACCTGCTGATACCGAAGCTCGACGCCTTGCAAGACTTTACTGATGAAGTAAACTGGTTTCTGCCCATCCTCTTTATGCTCTCTAACCAGGGCGGCACTTATAGCCTCTGTGCCGACAGCGAGATATAGGTATAAGGTTTCTCCGTTATCCGGTTTGGTGAGGACCAGTGGACATGACAGGGCTTTTTTGAATTCTCTGAAGGCTTTTTCGCATTCCTCGGACCAGTGGAAGGTTGTCACTTTTTTGAGTAGGCTGAATAGGGGGAGGGATTTGTGCGCTGAGTTTGCCAGGAAGCGTATGAGGGCTACCAATCGCTCGGTTAACAGCTAAACTTCTTTGACAGTCTGAGGGCTTCTCATTTCTATCATAGCTTTGCACTTGTCATGGTTTACTTCAATCCCTCTCTCAGTGAGCATGAATCCTAGAAATTTACCCACAGGCACGCCAAAGGCGCATTTGTTGGGGTTAAGCCGCTTGTTGTACGCTCTCAACCTGTTGAACACGCCCTGAAGGTGCAAGAGATATTGTTCCGGAGTTCGCGACTTGACGATCATATCATCCATGTAAACCTCGATGCTATTGCCAATCAGGTCTTTGAACACTTTGTTCATCATCCGCTGGTACGTGGCGCCAACAGTTTTTAGCCCGAAGTGCATCATAGTGTAATATTAGTTGGCGTTTTGAGTGATAAATGTCGTTTTGTCTTGGTTCTCTTTTGCCAATGGAATTTGGTTGTAACCAGCATACGCATCCATGAATGAGAGAATTTTGAAACCTGATGCACTGTCAACTAACTGGTCGATGCTAGGAAAATGATAGGCATCCCGGGGACATACTTTATTCAGGTCGGTGTAATAGACACACATTCTCCACGCCCCACTTGGTTTTTTGACCAGCACTGGATTGGATATCCAAGTGGTATACTTGATTTCTCTGATGAAGCCGGCGTCATGAAGTCTCTTTACTTCGTCGTCTATGACCTTCTGGCGGTCTGGGCCGAACTTTCTTTTTTCTGGGAAACAGGCTTTGCTCTGGGGTCCACAAACAACCTATGGCAACACACCTCAGGGTCAATGCCTGGCATGTTCGATGGTTTCCATGCGAATAGATATTTATTCTCCCGTAGTAGCTCAATCAATTTGCTTTTCATCTCAGGAACAGTGGTTGCTCCAACAGTTGTTGTTTGGTGGTCATCCTTACCCAGAACGACGTGTTTTAATGCTCCGTCGGGGGTAGGTCTGGAATGTTCCACCCTGGGATCGTATCTTGCGTCAAATTCTACCAGCAAACATTGATCATGCTCCTTTTCAGTCCTGCAAGGGTCTCTTTCAACTACCTGAGTTTCAGCCTGCTAGAGTGTCGGTTGATCTTTGAAGGTGACCTTTGAAGCTGATCTCAGAGATATGTTGTAACAGCTCCTGGCTACTGTTTGGTCTCCTTTTACTGTCGTGACTTTGTTATCCTTGGCTATGAACTTCATCGCCAGGTGAGGGTGAGATACACTCGCCTCGAAGGCGGAGAACACCCTTCTGCCCAGAATAGTGTTGTATGCTGATGGAGTGTCAAGCAGTAAGAATTGGATGTCGGCAGACCTTGACGTGGGAGGAGTTCCCATTGATAAGTGCAGGTTTATCATGTCGAGCGGTTTGGTAACGGTCGCGTTAAAACCTGACAATTCACCTACAACAGGGGTTAAGTCACTTACAGTAAATCCTAACGCGTTGAAACAAGGTAAAAATAAAATATCAGCAGAACTGCCATAATCAAAAAACACTCGATTAATGCTTAAATTGGCTATTATTGCTTGAATGACTAATGGGTCATCATGTCCGGGAAGGACGTCGCCGAAATCACTGTTGTCCCAGATGATTTTGGGTTTAGTAGGACTAGAGCCAGCTTTTGTTTTGCTGATGATTTTACCAGATACCGCCAAACATTGTTTCAAATGTTTCTTCCTGGTGTTTGCTGTCTCTCCACCTCCGCTTAGTCCACCTGAAATCATGTTGATTACGTCGTGCTTGATGACTACCGCATCTTGCTCATCATCTTCCCTTCCTCCTCTGTTGTTTGGGCTAGTTCGTATTCTGCGATCTCTCGGGGAGTCTTCTCTCCGGTTACGTTCATAGCGGGGCCTTTGATCAAATTGGTTGGCTCTTCTTATTTCCGGTGATCTACTACGCTGATGGTGGCGCCTGCCAGAGCCGGTTTCACGGGTAGAGTTACTCCCCCGCCTTTGAGCTCCTCCTTTGATCAGTTCATCAATCTCCTCCTTCAGAGATCTGCACTCCTCAGTACTATGGTCGTTACTGCGGTGGAATTTGCACTATACGGTGACTTCTCTAGTCGGCTCTTGGTGTTGTGGGTTACTCTTGCGCTCTTCTTTGTATTCGGTTTGCAGGATGCTGTGAGACTGACACCCTGAGTTATCACGCCCAATAGGGTGGCTGATATATCTGGAGGACTTGTGTCCCTTTCTATCTTCATTGTTGCGAAATCAGCAAGTATACCGTTCGTTTCAAGTAATAAAGTGATAATAAGTAGAGTATCGTTCCCACAAGGATTAATGCACCAAGTACTAGTTTAACTATTCCCTTTAAGTTGGAAAATAAAATTGGTTTGAGCAAGTAATTGAATTTGGAATTTCAAAACAGAATTTAAAAAGAATTAAATTTAAAACAAAAATTTAATAACAATTAATTTTGAACGCATGCAAGAAAATATCAAGAACGCGAGAAAATATTGATGCAAAATTTATAAAAAGGATTTAGCCAGGATGCACTTCACCTCCGATCCTCCCTTATATTCCTAAATTGTATTTTATAATTAATTAATTCGTTTGCTCAGACAATTCATTATTTCCCTATAAAATAGTTGAACCTTAATATCTTAGTGTTTCAACCCTTTAGTCCAATTAGAATCCTAATGTCTTAGTAATCCCTCTTGAATTAAGCATTAAGCAAATGAACTATGAGTCTGCAATTTATGTAAGCATATGTCTAGATCATACACAAATTGTTATTCTACCCTTGTCCAGACTAAAACCCCAATACGTCTATTGTGAGTCCTAACCCTCAAACCCTTATAATTCAGAGTGATCAGTTCTAAACAGGATATGAAAAATTAAACCAGGTAGAATAAAACAAACTAACTAATTAACTTATAAAATATCAATACATAAATTATAAAGGATTCACATTGGGTCTGTGATCCCAACTACAAAAACAAACTAGCCAGACATAGCTGGCTTATACAAATTAAAGAAATAAAAAGTATTCATGAAAACAATAAAGAAAAAGAAGAAGAAGAAGATGAAGGATCAATGGTCTTCGTTCTTCAACTCCGTCGGAATCCTGATCTCCAGCGTGAGCCTCCAAGAATTCTCTCCAGCCAAAGATTATTTTCTTTGGGGGTCTAAGCCTCTATTTATAGACTTTGTGTCTTGCTCAAATATCTTGATTAAATCTTCGTCGTAAATCTTCGTCGTAAATCTCCATCTAATCTTCTGCTGATACAAAACAGGATTTACTGCTGATTTGTCCACACCTCCCACGCTACTAGCGTGTCTCCCATGCTGTGAGCGTGGGAGTTTTATTCACGTTACTGGAAGTTCACGTAACTAGCATGGTTCCCACGCTGTGAGCGTGGGTTGCAAGAAAGCCTGGCGCAACTAGCGTGAGTTTCACGCTGTTAGCGTGGATGTCTCTGGATGAAATTTAATTCTGGCGCTACTAGCGTGAGTTCCACGCTAGTAGCGTGGGGCTTCAGCTTGAAAACTTCCACTTGGGCTTCTTTTTGTCCTATTTCCTACAAAATCAAAAGGAAATCAATTGCGTGATCTCTGATTGAGATTTCTTAAATTATCAGTTATTCTACCTTTTTTTATTCATGATTGATCAAGATTCTTTCACTTTTTGGCTTAGATTTATACATATGCTGGAGGCATATCAAACAATTCTCAGATTTGAACGTTGTTGTCCTCAACAATGTAATAGATTTAAGTTAGAAGCAATGATTAACTCTGTGAAGAAAAACATGAAACATGAACATCTTAAGAAATTAGATTGCTATGCATGTATAACTACCTATTAAAACCTTCAAACAAAACTTCTCAGTTGTATCAAGAAATCATATCCCCTAACTTGAATATTCCTCACCAGATAAATATACTCTCATCACTCTAGTGTTTGAGAGGTTCACACTTATTCCATTACTGTAGCAGTAATTCCATAAGCTTGAACATATTCTCAATTCTTAAGATTGGGGAACCCATTTGACATGCATAGACTAATCAAAAGGTCTTTGATAGGTTATAACTTGGCCTGGTTTGGGGGTAAGAATCTTTTGGTCAGAGGCTGATTAATTTGAGAGATTGAAATCCTGAGATATTTGACATTATTTCCTTCTCAGTCTTTTAATTCTGCCACATTTCATCAATTTGGGATTCTTTTCCCTTTTTCACTACCCTTTTCTTTTCTTTCCTTGTTTGCATATTTTCTCTTTTGAGCTGCATTTCTTTTTCAGAACTTTTGCAGTATTTTTGCAAACCATTTTTCTGTTTCCTTTTTCAACTTACTTAACTTTTCTTTTGAGAAGTACCTTGACTTTTTCCTTTGATCAGCATTTCAATCTCTTTCAAGGTGTGTCGATGGAGAAATGGTTAAGTAATTTTCATCAGGTTTTTGAATAAATTGGTCTAAGGCTCAAAAGGGCTAACAATGAAAAATTCTTTTAGGTAGACTGTTTGGCTCTAAGTTAACAAGAATAAATATGCCTTTATCATGTCAGTAATGCATGCAAGACAGAGAAACAGTTCAAGTTCTAGAAAACTACTAAAGTGAGGCCTCTCTGAAAAAAAATATTTTTGTTTAAGC